CAAGGGAGAAAGAAAGAAACAATTTGCATTTTAAAAAATTGCCTCCCGGGTACCTTTCCCTTAACCTTGCTCTCCAGAAATGACCTAAAAATTCATGTACATGAGTTATTCTCTCTCCCAGGAGGACTTAATAGAGATCACAGTTTTAATCTCAAATTGGAGTTTTCATGGATTCTCCTTCCGCTCCCTCCCTGTTCACCTACTCCTCCAAGATCTGCCTCAGTGGCTCCATGAAGTAATGTACCAGTTTCAGGGTCCCTAATAGATGACATAACTGAAAGGAGTAAATGAAGAAAGTTAGTGAAGGGACTATTTAGAAAAGTGAGTCAGGGTTAAGGAATCAATAAGGGATGAGGGTCTACCCCAGGTTTAGCAACAGTGGGAAGCTGTACCTTCTTCTACCCTCTACAGAGATAAGGGGGTGGGAATGGTAGCTGGAGGACATGAACTATGACCTTCAGAGGAAGTAAAACACTGTCAAACTGCTGTCCTTGTTGAGGAAGTCCTGGCCTCTACTCCAGCTCTCTAAGCTAGTTCCCCACATGGCCAGACCCAAGGGAGGGCAGGTGATGCAGCCTGTAGAGGTCAGCCTCCTAGGGATAAATAGGGTGACAGTGGGCAGAGTGACCTGGATAATCCACCAGAGAATGACCAGCACAAATGGAAACTGTCAGTGGGTGGGAGCAAACAATCAGAAAGGAGTGGGGGGGTATAATTTTCAACCCCCCACCCCAGAAATTCTGGAACAACGTAATCTCCTCCTCCTCCTCCAAAAGATCAAGTAACACTCATCAAAATAAGTAAAACTGCAACAACAGAATGTCAAATAAGCTAGCTGACTAGGAAGATTATTCATTCACGTATTTATTCATTTATTCATTCATCAATCATCAAAGATTTATTTGTACCTCTAGATATCAGGCATGCAAAAATGGATTAGACATCTCTATATACTTGAAGTGTTTATAATAAAACGTTGGAGTGAATGGATTGGATAGAGCCACTGCCCTTGAGAATTTGAGAGTCTGGACCAATGAGATTTCCTGGAGAAATGGCCAGCTAAACTGAGTCTGGGCTCGCCAGATAGGAAAGAGCAGAGAAGGATGATCCAGGAGAGACACTGAGTGGTGTCAGAGACTGATGGGAGATGAGGTGGTAGAGGCAGAAATCTACTTCCAAGTTCAGGATTACATTGTCCAGGTTTGCATATAAAAAAAATCCTTTGATCATTAGAGTAAGGATGGATTGGTGGAACAAACGAAGTTAGAGAATGGATGTGGGTGCCATGTGAGCAATGGCGATGCCTGAAGAATCTGAACAATGGCAGGAGGCCCCAAAATGAAGAGGGACAAACTCAAGAGACAATGATGGGGAGAACTGACAGGGCTCAGGAACTGCATGGCTATGGTGTGAGACAGAGGAAAGGTGCTTCGGTGCTGTTTCGTCTTCTCATTCCCCTGCTTTGTTAGCTGACAGCTCCCCAATTTTCCTTTGAGAGTACTGCTCCTACCTGCCAGCTGAGTGTAGGTTCCGTGGAACTGTCACCCATAGGTTCTCGTCTTCTCTGGCCAAGGCAGTGATCATGTGGCCTAAGTCAGGCCAATCAGTCTTTCCCTCCTGGGAATTTGGGAATCTTGGGCTTGGCACCTGGATCCTGCCTTGGTTCTTATCTTTTCTAAAGTGTCCTTCTTCATTTTTCCCCTTATAAATGTTGTATGCCACCCAAAGGCCTTTTTTACTTCAATTAGTTATTCTCTGGCCCATGAATGATGGCGCCTTTTACCAAGGCACAGAAAACAGGTAGAGGAGTTATCTAGAGAGAATGGGTGGGCAGTTTGCTTTGAGAAACCTATGGGAAAAAAAGAGAAAAATCTGAAAGTTGGTTCTGGAGGCTTCTGTGGAACTCTGAAAAAAATCAAATCACAGAGTGTAAAAACATCTTTAACACTTAGACATAAAAAAAAAAATCTGACTCAACAGCCTGACTTCCCAAGGATTTACCCAGACTTTTCTCCTCTCTGAGACTCAGTTTCCCTGTTAGTTCATAGCGGGTTTAATGATATTATTGAGGGTTCTCCAAATAGTCCAAAGAATTTTAAGTTTACATGTAAAGGGGTCAGCTATCCTGGAAAACAGGGTTAAACAGGTCTTAATCCAATCTCCTTACCACAGTACTTCTTGGGGTCTTAAATTCACTCGTCTGTGATGAACATCTCTGAGATAGGTGAAAATGAGCAGCATTTCTCATTCTATGTTTTGCCCTAGGAAACAACCCCCATCCCATGATGAACCCATGAAGAAACACACAGAACTAGTAGTTGTCAGAATGCACTTGCAGAAATGCTGGGTCAGGTGATTTCTGAGGTTGTTCCAGCCCAAACAGTCCCTGATCCTGTGGAGCCTGTGTCTTGAATACTTCCTGTTTCTTACACTTGCCTCTTCCTTGGGGATGATTGACCCCTGCACTCTGTTCTCCCAGGGAAAAGCACATTTCAACGCCTATGAAGTCACCTAAAGGTATAGTGGCTCATGAAACCCCCAGCAGTTTAAATGGAAACACAGCCTCCTCCTCCCCACTATGCTCAGAGCACAGACCCAGGCTGAGCCTGAAGGGATTTGGAACATGCTCTAGTGTGCATTTGGGAAAACAAAGAAAACCCTACTCTTTTCTGCTCCAGACTGTCTGAGATGCTCGTGTGCCCTTGGGCCTTTGCCCAGCTCTCTCATCTGCCTCAGACCTGGTGCTAAATTGGTTCAAGGTTTGGAGGAAAGCCTCAGAGGAAAGGATGGTTAGAGTTCTTAAATGCTGAAATCACCCTCAAGGACCAGAGGCCCAAAGACCTCTATGGCCACCAGAGGGCGATCACAATAGCATCTGTAGGGAAAGCTGTTCCCAAGAATAACAGCTGTAAATTGCACCTAATGTGTTTATGAATGATGGAGGCTGAAGTGTGCATGTGTGTATGCACATACGTACAATTAGGTGCCTGGAACTAAGACTTTGAAAATCTGCTAAGTACAATAAAATAAAATCTGCACCTCTACTATATATTCACAAGATGTGGTCAAATAATTGAAAGTTTCCTTATGGAAAATGAGGTAGAAGGAATCAGAATAGCATTTCCATGAAAGAAAAGGAAAGAGTTCCCAGTGGCGTAGTTTTCGTCATTGGTACATGCGATACTGTGTTTGTGTTCTGAGAATGCATGTGCATGTGTGTGTGTGATTGAGTATGAGTGTGAGCTGGAGTGTGTGTAAGCATGTGTGTGTATGTGTGAATGTGTGTATGAGCAGGGCTCATTCAGACTTTTCCAGTGTCAGCAGACCCCAAGGAAGTCTGGGCAATGCTTCCTCCAGTTCCTGCTCTCTGCCTGCAAACAAACAAACAAAATCATTCCTAAGAGTATTTATGGAGCCTCTAACACATGCGCTTCTCCCCACAGGCATCTGGAAAAGCTCAGACCTGGCCAATTCAGGGCAGGCACTGAAGTAGGAAGGCGCTGGGGGCAGAGGCGCTGCCTCCTCTGTGAATGGCTGTTTTGCAAAAACACTTTCTCTTCTTTGATGCTCCACACTACCCAGTGAGGTGGGCACAGGGCTGCAGCCCCCTTTCTTTGAGGAAAGGGCGCCCCAGATGTGGCATGGTTGGCCCAGGGTCACCTTGCAGAAGCACAAGGACTATAGAGGCAGCATCACTACTTTTAGCAGCACAGCAGGCACTGGGTCTGGGCAAAGCAGGGCAGGCATGGGGGTCGGGGGCGGGGGTAGGGTTTGTCATCAGCGACCTGAACAACAGGGACAGCCATATTCTGTGACATGTGTGGCTGCGGAGTGCATTCATGTCAGTATAGTAGGTCCTTTAGGAATAAGTTGTGGATCTTTGTCAAGATTAGGTGGGATCTTTGAGGATCTTTCTGATGAGGTAGCGATGCAGCTTTGATGGACTGTGATGTAAAAACGTGGGTGAAGTGGAGAGTGCAGCGGTTTGGGGTTCCTAGTAGCTGTGTGACCTCTGGCAAGTCACGTCACTTCTCTGAGCTTTTTTTTTTTTTTAAACTATAAAATGGGGCTACTTAAATGCCCCCTTGCGGGACGCTGTTGGGAACGAAAGAAAAAATATGAGCAGAGTGCCTAGCTCAGTGCCAGATTAAAGAAAAAGCGTCACCAGCCTGATTTGTCCTTGGTGAATGAGTCCCAGTTCTGGGGCCCGGCTGGCCAAGACCCTTTCCTTTCCTTCCTTCTCCCTCCTCTGCTGCCCCCTCCCTCTGGGCTTCGGTTGCTCTAGCAAAGTTCTCAACTTAGTCAACATGACGCGCAGCGCAGCCAATGGGAGGCGGAGCTGGCGTTTTTTTGTGGGGGGCGGGAGGGGTGGGCCCGCGTCTCTGGTGTCTGCCCTGCTCAGTGAATGGAGAGAGCAAGCGCCGGCCAGCTCACCCGGCTGCCCTGTGCCCAGGCCG